GGCGCTGATGGTGGCCAGCTTTACCCTTTTTTTATATATTTTTTAAAAAGTTAATCTATTTTAAAATTTTAATTAAAAGAATCTCAACTTTTAACGTACTTCCACTTAATCTAATATCCCAAATCCAAAAATATTTGTTTTTTTATTTCATTTCCATTAACGGCTCTACTTTCTCTTCATTCAATTTTGTGTCCTAATGCCTAGATCTACAATTGGTTTACGGGTCCACCATCAAGCTAGTGGTGTTCTTCACTTTGGTGATTTCTTAACCCCTTTTTTATGTTTTCTAGCTATTTACAGATATATTATCAATTTATAATTTCTATGTCGTTTCCCTTCTTCATTATGCTTCAAAATGCTAATACCCATTTTTTTTTCTATTAAAAATGTGGTTAATATGTAAATATTTGATTATTATATTAATTTTCAATTATGTTGTGATTAATTAGAAATAAAACATTATTTAATGTGATTGAAATGAACTTGCATATGTGTCCCACAAATGCCCAACAACATATGCAATCTTGACTTCAATCCATTTGACCCACCCAACCCATTCATTCTATTGGCGAGTCAACATGGGTCGACTGACCCATTAGGGTCAGTGGAAAAGGGTCAGGGTGGGTTGGGTCAAGGATTTTAGTCGTGTCTATCTATATTCGCCAAGTCTCATAAGAAAAGCACTTGAGAAAAGTTTAGGTAACTTGAACTCAAGCCACCAAGCATATCCACATCTTATTACATTTCCAAACCACCATGTCACATTTCATTTTGTGATTAAAAGTGAAATAAAATATATATCATTCACTTTTGTATCCACATACAATTTAAACAAAAAGCACATATTTATATTTAACACCTTTAATTAACAATTAAAAAAATAGTATTTTATAAACTAATAGAATTAATAATCCATCAAATCCACATTTATATAAACTTAAAATTTATAAACTTTCACATGATATAAATCTTAAATTTTTTATAATTTTTTACTAATATTTTAATTTACATTTATAAGTAATAATAAACTATTTATTATTTACAAAAAATAAAAATATTATAAACAAAGTATTGAAGAATATAATTTTAAATTGAATCTATCAAATCCATTAATCTACATTTATTTCAAAAAAATGATTTTTTATTTAATAAAATTTATAGAAATAAAAATGTTAATAATGGAATAATTATTTTAGTAATTAGAAACTATGAATTTGTATATGATGTGTATCTTAGAAATTTTAACAGATTTGATATACTATAAGTTAAGATTATATTTTTATAAATTATTAATTGATATTTTATTTTGAGTTGATTTTTTGTTAATTTTAGAAAATTAAAGTATTAAAAAAATAATAATTAAAATATAATAGGTGTCTTGGACTCTTGATTGATCCATTACAAATGAAATGATTTGATATCTACGCATCCCGATATATTAATTATAACATATTTCTTCATATATCATTAAAATTAAAATTTTCTATGTATTTATATACTATTTTGTGATTATTTTGATCTTAAATTAGTGTTATTTTGTGATTATTTTTTATCTATATCCATGCATTTCCAAAGCATATCAGTATCTGTGTTATTCAATACAATACCTGATGCTAATACTTTAATCCTTGGTTTCATAATTCAAAAGTCTCTATTTAGGTCGAGTGTCTCTGAGTAAAGGTCGAGGCTTCTTCCTACCATTTTCTGCCATGCTTTCGAGGTATGCTTTCATGCTTTTTTGGTGTTTTCATGCATTTTCTACAATTTTTTAATTTTTTTTTTGCATTTGTTTTGCAAAAGTTATGCATTTTCTTTTGCATTTTTTGCAATTTTTGGTATTTTCTACATTTCTTGCAATTTTCTGGTATTTTTCCGCATTTTCTTCTATTTTATGGTATTTTTTTGCATTTTTTGATATTTTTTTGTATTTTTTTGAATTTTCTGCATTTTTTCAATTTTTGTTATTTTCTGCAATTTTCATAATTTTCTAATTTTTTTTGCATTTTCTACAATTTTTTTGCATTTATCTATAATTTTGCATATTCGGGTATACGGGTTGACCCAACCCATTTCTGTCACGTGGCAGTCTTGAGAGAGATGATTCTCTCAAAAATGATTTTTCGGATATACGGGTCGACCCGACCTAGTTCTATCACATAGCAGCCTTGAGAGAGATGATTCTCTCAAAAATTTTTATTTTTGGGTATACGGGTTGCCTTGACCCATTTCTGCCATGTGGCAGCCTTAAGAGAGATGTTCCTCTCAAAAATTGTTATTTTTGGGTGTACAGGTCGACCCAATCCACCCATTTGCCACTCTTACCCAACCTAACCCAACCCACCCATTTGCCACCCCTAGGAGGAAGAAGCATCATGGAGAAACAAAACAAAGCAGAAATGGAGAAAAATAGGGGCTAAGCATGGAGGTTTATGCACCTGAACTAGTGGAAGCCTAGAGGTTACTACCACTATCTTCTTTGGATGCTCGAATGGTAAAGACGTTAGGTATTTTTGTTCTTGTTTTTTGCATCGAGGGTAGTCCATAGAAATAACCAAAAAATTATGAGGATAGTTTTGTCCCAGAAAATACTAATAAACACTAAATACTGTCCCAACCTTTCTTTTCTTTAAGTGCTTATTTTCAAAATAAACACTTATTCTTGGCTAATTTTGCCAAATATGAATAAATACTTTTTTCTACTTATTGTGTGATCTGGCCACTTAAAGTAAGTATTTATTTAAATAAGTACTTATTTTAGTGTTCCTAAATAGGGACATTGAGTTGACATCTTAGGGCCAAGGTTCAAAGTATTGGAAACACCAAGTGTATTAGAAGGGCAATTTTAAGATACGTATCGGAATACGCCTTGGATACGCATGTGTATTAGAGAAAAACTAAGATACGCATAGATATGCTTGGAAACACTATAAATACTTTAATAAATCATAAAAATACATCAAGAATACTAAATATAAGACCTCAATGAGGTGTATATACATTAAATTAATATATTTTAATGATTTTATGAAGAAATATATTATAGCTAATTATAATTTCATTAAAAATCCTAAGCTTAACTATATTTTATAAATTATAATTCTTAAGTTTTAATGTTTTATGGGATGAGAAAAACCCAACTCTCCTATCCAACCATAAAACACGCATTGACACAACTTCTATGTGAAAATATAATTAATAATTATTTATTATTTATTTTCAAAAATTATAAAAACTAAATAAACATTATATAATATATTCAAAAAATAGTTATTAAAGAAGAAATTTCAATTGTGGATATGATAGATCATCTATAGAATTATAATATATTCAATCGTTGTGATCACATGATAAAATATAATTAATTAATTATTTTTTTTTTAATTCTAAAAAAAATAAAAAATAATTATTAAAAGAAGAAATTTCAATTGGTCTATGGATATGATAGAGTAGAATTATAATATCTTTAATTGTTATGATTAAATGATAAAATATATTATTATTTATTTTTTAAATTCTAAAAATATAAAGAAGAAATTTTAATTGCTCTATGGATATAATAGATAAATCCATATATTTAAAACATATTCAGTTTTTATAGGCAAAGAAAAAACTTACATTTTCAATTTTTTTTGTTAATTTATATTTTCCCCAAATATCTTCATGAAATTTCCATAAATCTACTAATAGCACAAAAAAATTGTGATTTTGAATGTAAGAAATGTAGATCAACATAAATTTAAACATTCAAGAAAAAAACGAAATCACAAGATATTATAAAAGATTGAAAACTTTACCCATTTTTCCATATTTTTTCAAAATTTGAAAAATCTTTAAAAAAATTAACGATTCACACTTGTTTCTTGCAAAATTTTACAAAATTAGCACTCTAGGAATGAAGTTTGGAGTTTTAGAGTCATTTTGGGGTGAAAGAAGGCTTATTTCGAGGAAAAGAAGCTTGCTTTCCCCCTTTAATTTTTTTTTAAGTTTTTGGTCGTATCTTTTTCGTCGATACGCCCCGATACACCCACGATACGCCCCCGATATGCATGAAAAAAGACGAGACGTCCAATTTCCATGCATATCCTGTATCGGTTTTTAAAAGATACGATACAATACACCCCGTATCGGGCATATCGTATCAAAATTTTAAACCTTGCTTAGGGCCCAGTGTCATGATGAAAATTGTAATTGAAATCCCATAAATATATGAGATTTGAATGGCACCCAGTCTTTAATGAGAGACAATGTGGGACTATGGAAGGGCTCCTTGAACGCTAAGGGAGAACTCAATGAACTTAGTGAACTATTGATCTTTTAGTTTCTTTAACTAGTTCTAGTGATGATTATCTAGTTTCTATTTCTTCGTTTTTCTTTGCTTGTTGTATTGTAGTTATTGTGTGTGTAGTTTGGTTCTGGTCCTAGTTTAAATTATTATTAGGCTTAGGGCCTGTTCGTTTCCTCTTAATTCTTATCTCTTAAGAGGAATCTTTTAATTTTAAAAGGAAAATGGTTGTTTGTTTCCACTTATCTCTTATCCCTTAAAGTGCAATCATACAACATTTTGTTTTTCAATGATACCCCCAAAAAGACAAAAAAAAAAAAAAACTTTCATATATGGGGTCAAAATGGATATTTGATAATTTTTAGAATTCAGAACAACATTCTCTACATTCGGAGTTCAGATGAAAAAAATGTTCAYCAATACCAATTGTGAGCATCGGAAAAACCGCTCACTTGCCACTTGGGTAGATATGGAGTATACCTCTTAATTTAATTATTGTACTTTCAAATGTCAGACCTCAGAGCAAACCAATAGGCCCTTAGCCTATTGTTCATCTATCTAATTAGGCTTCCTATTTAGTAGGTGTCTTTTCCCCTTTGGGGTGGCACTACAGTCTTTTGTCTCATGTATAGGTAGTGTTATTAACTGAGTTTCTTAGAGTTCCTTTTGTTTGTTGTATCAGTTGTGTTCTTTTGTTTGTTGTTTTCTTATAGTGTTTCGGTCTTTGTCTGTGTTCTTTCTTCTTGGAGTGTTTGTTTGCTTTTTTTTTCCTTTTATTTGTGTTATGCTTTTGCCTTTGTTTTTTCTTCTTTGTACTACTATGGATAACTTCTAAGACCTTTATGAAGCTTTTCAGTGTGCAGTTAGGGAAGGTCAGGATCTAGGAGTGGATGCCCTGGATGTTAGTGGAAGACCTGCATTAGCTCAGCTTGAAGAGTGGATATTGTGAATTGTAGGTAGAATTTTTCCTCGTTTAGCTATCCCTTTTGATGAGTTATCTATAGCTCTACATGGTCCCTGGAAAATTCCAGTTAAAGCTTTTATTATGTGATGTTTATTATTATGGCAAAGTTCTATTAGATGGTCCTCGGATAGTTTCTGAGCAGTGGATTTTGATTAAGGAGTGGAGAGAGGGCTAGGTTTAGTCTGCTATTGCTCTTGATGACGCAAAAGTTTGGGTTTAGGTCCATGATCTACAATATAATATGTTGGATGCCTTGCTGGAGAACATCTGGGAGAGGTTCATGCTTCCTAGAATAAAGGTCATTATATTCGTGTTAAAGTTTCTATAGATATTAATCAACCTTTAAAATGTGGTGCTTTTGCCTCTGTGATGGATTGGGTTATTTCTCGTTATGAGAAACTATTCTTGTGGAAGAGTCGGCCATGGTTATAAGAAGTGTACTTTTTTTTGTTTACCGGAAGTTGATGATTTGGAAGCCTTTTTACAATCAAAGGACGATGAACCACTATGGGCTTTGGCTCAAAGCAGAAACTCCTATGAGACCTGACTGAATGGCGTCATCCAACTTGATCAGTTTTTGGTGCATGGAGATCACATGGATGATCATGAGTCTTCGAGGATGTTTCCAGAGGTGTTGTTTATGAGAGATTTGGGTAGTGGGAGAGTAGAGTCTTTGGGTGGGAGGGGTTCTCGAGGTTGGAAAAGGAGATCAACTGAGTTGACAAGGGATGACATCATGAGGGTGGCAGATAATCTAGATAGTAGAGTAGATCGTTTGAAAAAAGAATCGGCCAAACTAGATGAACTTGTTGGTCTAGAGACTAAGCTTAATATGACCATATCTAAGTTGGATCCTAGGGATTCATATATGGGTTATCTGGATTATTCTATCCTAGGAGGGAGTCTGGTATTCGGATTAGAGAAATTGGTTCAGGGTTTGGTCATTCTGCGGATTCGGATTCAGATATGCGTATGTGGAATTACCTTTCTTTTGATGGTGGACAAGGATGTATTTATGTTGTTTATTGTCTAATGGTTCTTTTTGTTTGTATATATGTGCTTTTGTTTTCTCTTATTGTTTGTTTTGTGTTATCTTTCTTTTGGTTGGCTTTTTTGTTTTGTTTAGCTACTGTTGGGGGTGATGCTGAGGCATGTTCGGGGGGAAGATTTCTGGATAGGGGGGGCATCGTTACCAGGTGAGTTTTTCAATTTTGTTCTCTTACTTTTTGTAGGGCAGTGGTGGTTGGCCCTAAACAGCCACAAGTAGATTCATGAGAATTTGTGGTTGGAGTTGTCGAGGGTGTGGCCGACCTTTGGCAGTTAAGGGTCTGAGGTCTTTCATCACATAACAGCATCCTGATGTTGTATTTTTCTGTGAAATGAAAATAACCTTTGATAAGGCTACTCATCTGACTTTTACTTTGTGATTCCCCTATTCTGTTATTGTTCCCCCTATTGGTTTCTCTGGTGGTTTAGCTATTTTCTAGTGTAATAATGTTAAAGTAATTCCTGTTTAATCATATCAGAATTTTATTGTTTTGAAAATAGTTAATAATCCCGAGTTTTGTCCCTGGTTTTTGGTTTTTATTTATGGTGAACTTAATCGTAGCAAAAGAAATTTATTTTGGGATAACTTATTAAGTTTTAGTTAGCATCAATGATCATCTTTTTATTTTGGGTGATTTTAATGAAGTGGCTGTGGTGGATAATAATGATTTAGTTTCTTTTCCTTCTTTAAATCAGCATAGTAAATGTTATGTTTTGAAGGGTTTTGTGAAGTTGGTGAGAGATTTGGAGCTGCAGGAAGTTTTCCCTCAGGGTGGAAGAGTTTCTTGGTTTAGGTATGTCAAAGGCTTAGGTAATTTGTCGCGTTCTCTGGATAGGGTTTTTGTTTCTCCTTCTTGGATTTTAGTTTTTCAGGGTCTTTCTGTTTTCTTAGGTCCTAGCTGGGGTTCAAATCATCATTTGATTCTTGCTGAAATTAATGAGTATAGGAAGGCGAGGCCTAAACCTTTTCGGTTTTATCATATGTGGTTAAGGGATGATGGGTGTGATCAGGTTATTAGGAATGCTTGGAATTTTGATATTAATGGATATGCAGTCTATAGAATTGGAATCAAATTAGAAAGAATAAAGAGAGACTTGAGGAACTGGAATTGGAATAAGTTTGGTGACAGTCATAGCCAGTTAAGGTTAGTTGAAGAATAGATTTTACAAATTAAGGAGGTAGAGGTTAGGGATGTTAGAAGGGAGTTGGATCATTTAGAAAGAAGAATGAATGTATTGCTTAGTTATTTAGAATCTTATTGGCGGCAGAATACTAGGCAGCTTAAGTTGGAAGAAGGGGATAGGAATACCAATTATTTCCACCATGTTGCTACCATTAGACAGCATCGGAGTAAAATAGATTCAGTGAGATTGGATTATGGTAGTTGGACTAATGATCAACAAAGGATTTCAAAGAAAATTATTGTTTTTTAGGACCTTTTCACACAAAATTATTCACTTCAAAGGTTGGATTTTTATGATCTTATTTCTCCTTATATTACTCCTGATATTACTAAGGAGGAGAATAATGATTTGGTTAGGGTTCTGGATGAGCAAGAAATAAAAGAATCCCTTTATATTATTGGTAATCTTAAGGCTCTGGGTCCTGATGGTATTCCGACAGTTGTTTACAAGTCCTTTTGGGATGAAATGAAAGTAGATATTGTTAATTATATTAGAGATTTCTTTTTTAATAAAAATTTTGTTAGAAGATTCAATCATACTTTCAATACTTTGGTTCCTAAAAAGGAGAATGCTTATTTAGTTAAAGATTTTAGGCCAATTAGTTTGTGTAATGTGATTTGTAAAATCTTGGCTAAATTGTTTTCTAGAAGACTTGGGAGTTTAATTAATAAATGTATTTCTCCTTTTCAGAATGCTTTTGTTCCAGAAAGAAATTTAATGAATAATATTATTATTGTTCACGAATTTATCCATCATATAAAAAAGCTAAAAAGTGTCATGGTTATGTTGCAATTAAGATGGACATGATGAAAGCTTATGACAAAATGGATTAGGATTTTTTATTAGTGTTTTAAGAGCTTTCGGTTTTTCTAAGATTTTTTGTTAGATGATTCTCTTTTGTACTTCAACTATTTCTTATTATATTTTGATTAATGGTTTTGCAGAAGGTTTTATTCCTACTAGAGGTTTAAGACAGGGGGATCCTTTGTCACCGCATCTTTTTTAGGTATGGAAGTTCTTCCTCACCTATTAGTTAAGGAATAGGAGTTAGGTAGGATTCATGKGCTTAAGATAGCTAGAGAGGCTCCTTCAATTTCACATCTTTTGTTTGCTGATGATGTGTTTTTGTTTGTTAAATCTTCTAGAGATGAAATCCACAATTTGTTGCAAGTTGTAAATAATTTTCAGGACTTTTCTAGTCAAGTTATTAATTATAAAAAAGCAAGGGTTTATTTTAGTAATAATCTGCACCATAAATGTAGTAAATTGCTGTCTAGACAGTTAAGGATGGATAATTTGGAGTTTTGTTCTAAATATCTTGGTGTTCCACTTTTGTGGAATAAAAATTTGAGTGATTCTTTAAATTATTTATTGGATAAGTTTTAGTCTAAATTAATGGGTGGAAGGCGTCTAATTTATCCCAAGCTAACAAATTAGTCCTTTTGGAGTCTACTTTGCAATCTATCCCCAATCATGTTATGTTAGTGGTTTCCTTTCCTAACAGTTTTAATGAGAAAATTGAAAAGATTCAGAGGAAGCTTTGGTAGTCATTTGGGAGGATTCTAATGGTTTCAGGTGGACTAATTGGAATCATATCTGTACCCCAAAATCTTATGGTGGTTTGGGAATTAGGAAAGCAGGTGAAATGAATGAAGCATTTCAGTTAAAATTAGCTTGGATTTTTCTCAATCAAGACCACAGATTATGGGTGAAGCTATTGAGAAGTAAATATGTTCATCCTCATTATATTTTTCCTACGAGACTGAAATCTAACTGCTCCAGGATTTGGAGAAATATTTATATGTCTATTCTTGTTTTGAAGCCTGATCTAACTTTTAAAGTGACTATGAATTCTTCTATTAATATTTGGAATGTACCATGGATTATAATTGGTAACGAATCCACTGTTCCTATGGGCCTAGTTGATAGACAAGTGGGTAATATTTTGTTCAATGATTTAATGGACTCTAAAGGAAATTAGAATTAGATCTTGTGAGAAACATTTCGGGAGAGAATTGGGTTCCTTTTGTTTTAAATGTGCATATTTTCAGGAATATTCAATCTGATAATTTTAGTTGGAGGCTTGAAAAAAAATGGTTCCCTTTCTGTTAAAAATGCTTATATTTTAATTTGGAAGAGAAGGAAATTTCGGGTTTCCTTTGTTAGAGAAAGTTTGATTAAGAGAGTGTGGAAGCTGAATTTGCCCCTAGTTATAAATTATTTTTATGGGGAATTATTATGAATTTTGTTCCAAATTCCTCTCTTGTTGTGGAATGTGTATTTAATTGTTCCAATTTGTGTGTTTTTTGTGGCCAGTCAAATGAGATCGGATGAGAGTGTGCAATTTTCCTCCCCGTGGAATTTTAGATTGGATTTCTCATTGATCCTATAAATATTCTCCTTGAAACTTTGAACTTTTTTTAGGAAGATTCGAAAAGAGTTAAGGTGCTAGCTTAGTTGGCAATTACTTGTTATTACATCTAGATTTATAAGAATAATGTAATTTTAGATCTCAACTCTTCTCTTTGGATAGTTTACTAGTCACAATTGGAGTGGTTTTTTAAACTTATCTGAGTTCTTTTGAGTATCACCAATGGACTGGGAATCAGGGGTCTCATTTTGGTATCGTGACATCTCTAAAAACRTTTTCCTTTGGATGTTATATCTTTTGTGATGGAGGTACTATTGGTGCTAGTATGGGTACTTTTGGTCTTGTTTGCTATAAGTTTGATGGTGCTTTTCTAGCTGCTGGAGGGGGGGAATATGTAATGCAAGAAGGACTAGTTGAAGTGGAGCAATGGGCTATCTGGAACACTCTTTTGTTTGCAAAAGAAAAGGGTTTATTGACTGTGATTATCCTTTTGGATTGTTCCACCTTGATTAATGGTCTAACTTTAGCTGACTTTGGAAGTGTTTCATGGTCCTGTCTACTATTATTGGACAAAGTTGTTGGTTTGTTTAAGTCCTTATTTTTTTATATTAAGAATATTAGTAGAATTGTTAATATGCTTGCCCATGTGGTTGCTAGGGAGGCTAAATATTGTGAAACTGATATATTTTGAGTTGGGGATCTGCCTGTGTTTTTGGATTCGTGAATGGATGTAAATATTTTTTTCATAATAGTAATGACTTGGGCCGGTTTTAGTTTGGTTTATGATATAATAAACCGTAGACAAACCAATTGACCATTTTTAGAAACTAATCAAATCAGGTTGAATTAGTCCAGTTTAGTCAGTTTCAATCATTTTGTAAATAGCCCTAGTATTGATAGGTGTCTAAGCCACTCCCAAACTTAATGTCCCCTTAACTGAGACTTAAAAAGGGTTGATTAGGTCAATTGGTATGTTTGCTGGCTCGTTCCATCAGAGGCACGGATTCTAATCCTATCGGCTTGTTATTTCCACTACGACCAACTTGGGTATAAATCCTTTACTTTTCTTCGAAGTTCCTCCCATTCTAACATTGTCCAACACCACCACCATGGTGCCACCAACTCAATAACTAGTGTCCACCTCCAGTAACCAAGTTCTAACCTAGTTGGGATATCAGAAATCAAATAAAGAACTACAAATGTTTCATAGTTGAAAATTGAATACTAAAAAAAGTAAGAAGAACCAAGGGTCTCAATCCTCAATTTGTTCCCTCATCTTGTGAATGGTGCTTTTATCATCCATGGCTCTAAAAATGTTCAACGTATAATTACCACCTACTTTAACTTCGCCATAGTCTTTGTTGCCCCAATTTCCAACAACCTTCCTCACTATATACTTCCGATAGAGCTACTATGCTGGCTAAACTCCATTTGTTTAATTTGTTTTCAAAGACTAGCCCCATAGTTGATACCGTATTTCACTACAATTTCTACTTTCTTTGTTTGCTTTATAAGTGTGACTGGGTGAAGTAAAGGCTGACCATGACAGATGGAAAGATGCAAAAACCCTAGACAAAGCTAAATCCCAGAATATAGAGCGGCAATCAGACCATTAATCATTTGGTGAGTTGATCTCCATTCAATCTAAATGTACAACTAACCAGTTATAGGGGGCTTAGATCACCTAACTCCAAATATACAACCTTAACTTGTTGACACTTTCCTTTGTGGGCTTGCCTCCAGGCTTGAGAGTAGGACTTCTGAGATGATTGGGGTATTTCACGCTCGACCTTTGTCTTTGTAGAGTCTTGTGGGTGCCCTTTAGGGTTCTCGGTTGGAGGATTGGCTTAGAGGGGCACCTAGTGAACGAGTGGAGCTGCAATTGGGGTACGCCCAAGGTATTCCATCCCTTCCATCATTGTGACTAGTTAACCGACTGCCTTTTGCAAGGCAATGAACTCTTTGTGGGTCACATGCTTTGGTTGTCGAACCTCACAAGGAGGGGAGGAGCGTCGGGAGTGAGATCCTCATGATGGAGACTAAGTGCCAAAGCGGTCAAAGGTGTTCTTTGGAGGCATGATTGTTAGTGCACAAGAGGGAAAGAAATTGGAGGCTTTTTGTACCAATTCCCATAGACAACACCAGTCTGATGCTGTCCGAACTGAGCTGGAGCCGAGGCTGACATGCATCAAATAATTCTGCTAACTTGGACGAGTCGAGATGGAAGGATGAAGTAATGCACTAAATGGATTTATAACCAAAGTGATTGTTAGAGGCCTAAAGATGAGGTCCCCAGGGAAGGTACTCCGATGCTCATGTTAGTAATGAGTGATGAGATCGGTTGGGTTGAGGTGTTTAGGACAAACTAGTTTGGGTCGAAGGGAGAGGTATGAAAGCAAGAGGGCAAGAGAGAAAGAGGTTGAGAGAGAGATTAAAGAGAGCAAAACTTTGGGGGAGATTCCTTTAAATAGTTAAGTGTCGTGGTGCACTCGAATGCGTTCCTTGCGGGGTTCAAGGGAAGAGATCACTTGCCAAGGTCTTTGGGTGGCTCCGCTCTCCCTGGCGAGGGCACTTATTTGTGAGAGATTATGCTTAATTCCTCCGAGGTTCTCACTTGTGGGATTATCTACCGACCTTAGTTTGTGGCATGCTAATCCATTGACATGGCCCGAAGAGGTCGATTGGGCCTGAGACACGACAATGTTCATGTGGTAACTACAATTGGCTGAGGTACGACCCTAACAGTATTAATCTTATTTCTTAAGATAATACAGTATTGAATTATTACCTAAAACACATAAAAACTCTATTTTATACGTCAAATTTTAAACCCATTTTCACTTTTCTATTAGTATATAATGCCCATACTTGGCTTGGCTTCACATTTAGGCCATAAAAATAAAATTAGAATATCTTTTTATAAAGAAAAGTTCAATTAAAATATCTTATTAAAAATATCATGTAATGCCAGTACTTGGAAATGGATGGTTATTCAAATATTTCAATTTTTTAATCTAACTCAAGTTAAAGACATTTTGAAGAATTACAATAAAAAGTCTGAAAATCTAAGTTTATACTTGATTTGAATCAAAAGATAGGGAAAGGAAGAAAAACTCCGAGGGCCACCACATTCTTTCATAATCGAGTACTGATGTAGTGTGATCTGGTCACTCCTAGCTAGCAGGGGCCTCGCTCCTACCTGGCAACGGATAGCACCTGAGAAGGAGAAGAAGACGAAGGATTCCCGAGGAGCTCGCCCGGCGGGAACACTTTGATGCTTAAGTTAGAACTCGGTGTAGAGCTTAGAGAGTTGAGAAGAAATAAATGCTAAGAGTGAAGATGCGCAGTTTTCGATTACAAAAATTCAATTATTCTTTTCCTTGGGGGTCGGAGCCCTTCTATGTTAACGCTCAAATCGGGTGTAACCGCCTCTGATTCTCTTCTATACCCGTTATTTGTCAGGCTGATTCGATTGGTGCAGGTATCCGTCGTAGGGTACGGCCTTGTCAGCTGAGAGACGTTATGCAGAGCCAGCGTGCATGACGCCGCCTAACATGAGACGTAGGCGCAGTCCTCTGGACTGGCAGGTGCTGCACCACCAGACAAAAGACGTGGGAGCAGTCTGACAAGCACGG